AAAAAAATTAAAACCATGAGAGGAGACTAAAAAATTAAAATCAGGAGAGGGGGCTAAGAGAATAAAATCAGGAGAGGGGGATAAAAAAATTAAAATCAGGAGAGGAGCCTAGAGACAATAAAAATCACGAGAGGAGCCTGAAAAAAAATAAAATCAGGAGAGGAGACGAAGAGGAAAAAAATCAGGAGAGGAACCTAAAAAAATTAAAACCAGGAGAGGAGACTAAAAAATTAAAATCAGGAAAGGAGCCTAAGACAATAAAAATCAGGAAAAGGAGCTTAAAAAATTAAAATCAGGAGAGGAGCCCAAAAGAATAAAATCAGGAGAGGAGCCTAAAAAAATTAAAACCAGGAGAGGAGACGAAGAGAACTAAAATCAGGAGAAGAGCCTAAAAAATTAAAATCAGGACAGGAGTCTAAAAAAATTAAAACCAGGAGAGGAGACGAAGAGAACTAAAATCAGGAGAGGAGATTATGAGAATAAAAATCAGAAGTGGAGACTAAGATAATAAAGTCAGGAGAAAAGCATAAAAAAATTGAAATCAGGACAGGAGACAAAGAGAAAAAAAAAGCAAGAGAGGAGCCTAAAAAAATGAAAATGAGGAGAGGAGCCTAAAAAATTTTCACTCAGGAGAGGAGCCAAAAAAAATTAACATCAGGTGAAGTGCCTAAAAAAATTAAAACCAAGAGAGGAGACTAAAAAATTAAAATCAGGAGAGGAGACTAAGAGAATCAAAATCAGGAGAGGAGCCTAAAAAAATTAAAACCAAGAGAGGAGACGAAGAGAACTACAATCAGGAGAGGAGCCTAACAAAAATTAAAATCAGAAGAGGAGACTAAAAGAACAAAATCAGGAGACGAGACTAAAAAAATTAGAATCAGAAGAGGAGCCTAAAAAAATTAAAATCTAGAGAGGAGCTTAAGAGAACTAAAATCAGGAGAGGAGCGTAAAAAAATTGAAATCAGAAGAGGAGCAAAAAAAAAATTAAAACCACGAGAGGAGACTATAAAATTTAAATCAGGAGAGGAGCCTAAAAAAAATTAAAATAAATTGAGGGGGTTAAGAGAATAAAATCAGGAGAGGGGGCTAAAAAAAATTAAGATCAGGAGAGGAGCCTAAAATAATAAAAATCAGGAGAGGAGCCTAAAAAAATTAAAATCAGGAGAGGAGCCTAAGAGAATAAAAATCAGGAGAGGAGCCTAAGAGAATAAAAATCAGGAGAGGAGCCTAAGAGAATAAAAATCAG